TTACTATAATGGTCTCCAAGCTGTTCATAAATAAGTCTGCTAAAAGTGGATTAAGGGGTGAGCCCATTGGTAAACCTGAATCTTGTTTATAGAATTTGTTGTTGAACTGTAGGTAGCTCTGATTTAGGCACACATCTAAAGCTGTTGAAACTTCAAAGGAAGTGATATGGTCTACTTTACACTTACACTCTTTGTACGGTATGTTGGAGAACATACTCTTTACACTGAATGAAACTAAAATTGAATTATGTGGCGTGGTTTGGTTCCTTATGTTTTCTACTAAAGTCGGTGAATTTTTAATGTTGTGAGGTGGGATGAAATTGGTAATAATAACTTGTTAAGACGTATTTCTAGTTCTCTTACCGGACTATTTATATACGAAACTACCGGTTTTATGGGTTTATCTTCTTTGTGTTTTTATCAGGTCATACAGTTTAGGGCAAGAGAGGTTCACAAACTACACCTAAACGATTTCATCTCCACAAACTTTATTGAAAAAATATATCACAACATGTTTCGCTAAACATTAGCTTTTTCTCTCGTACCTGCTCAATTATGATTACCTAAAGTATATTGCCTCACATCTACATCAATAATAATTCTTTCTCGGTTTTTAAGAAAACAAGTTCAATAATGGTGATCTATTCAAATCCAGTTGGTCATTCATTAGAATGTTTGAATTTATAAGTTTATTAATTTCCATTGTTTCCAAATGATTCAGTTTCAAACCTTTATTTTCAATGTGCTAAAACAATATTTTTCGGAGTACCCATTGGTATAACAATCATAGATGTTTTTGGATATGTAGCCAGGGTTGATGGAATTTCTATGCAACCTGCGCTGTTTCTCTAGTGTTTGATAAAGAGAATGGATGGTTCTGAATTACTTCATTGATCTTGTATGCCCCTATATCTCTATTATCTGTCTGTTTCAATGCAATAGCTGTATATGTTATCTGTATTCAACAACAGTTGAATACAACAATTGAATCAAGAACTGAATTATGAAGGAGAATGGTTCTACCACCGTGAGAAAAACTACTTCTGCAAAAAATAGAAGCTAACGTGCAATCAGGAATCACTAATGGCTCACCATTTTTGAGCCAGTGCTCTGTCAGAAAAACAACTTTGGGTCATTTCTGGTCTGATAGGAATATGTACAATTCGTCCATCTTGTTTCTAATTGATTGTATATTTAGGCACAAAAAGGTAAGATGTGACTCATCAGTGATGAGTTTCTTATTTATAAAAAAGAGGCATTATTACTATTTGGCAGTGAAACATCATGTTGAGTATGCACTGGTGTCTGAAAGTTGGTATAATCTTCACCCATAGGTTGCGTAGCTCTGTCTTCTATTTGGTCGTCAACTACACTATGACTGGAGAAGTGGTCATTTATGTGATTCAGTATCTTCCTTGCCAAAAATTTTTTCCCATATCACTGATGACTTGTCCATTTTTATAAAAGTTACTCTTTCTCTGCACAGAATTACGATCAATCATATATCATAGGTCACAGAGACATAGTAACTTTACTATGATACTTTGCTTTGCTGTCTGGATAGGATCTTTCCTGTACTGAGGTATTACTTCGAAACTGCCGTCTGCAGGTGATCTACTTGAATAATTTCAGTATGGCCCTAAAGCAGAATGAACGAGAAACCTTTGCAAGACTAACCTATGTGATATTATTCAAAATACTTCCTTGTTCATGTGAGCATAATCTTATTTGTCGTGACCCAACATAAATTCCGTGGATAACACAGTTCCGCAGTACAACTTTCAAAAAAAATATCATCATACCAAGTAGAGAGGACTGGCAAAATGGTCCATCAGTAAAAGCGGAAGAAACTTGGAATACAGATGGCTCAAAGACCCAAGAAGGAGTAGGAGCCGGTATATACGGAGGCAGAGCAAAGACGAGAGTCGCACTCAGCCTCGGACATAATGCAACTGTGTTCCAGGCAGGAGTAGTAGCCAACGAACACTGTATAGGGGAAATAAACAGGTAGAAGGTCACAAATAAAACCATTGCCATTTTCTCCGACAGCCAGGCGGCAATTAAAGCGCTCAGCTCATTTCAAGTCTTCTCAAGACTGGTGGGAAGCTGTCTGAGCGCACTTAAGGAGCTAAGTACCCAAAATAGGATCACTCTAGCTTGTGTACCCGGACATGAGGGTCACAAGGGCAATGAGGAGGCCGATGTTCTAGCCCGTGAAGGCGCATCCAAGGCTATGATTTGCCCAGAACCCTTCTGTGGGGTAGGGAAAGCATGTATAAAGACATCCATAAACTCATGGATGCACACCGAATCGATAGATTGGTGGTAGAAGCTCCCAGGAATGAGGCAGGCGAAAGAGTTCATAAAAAAAACATCGCCCAGATTTACGGAAGACCTGTTAAACCACAATCGTAATGGTAATGGTGGGTCTGACAGAAGAAACCCAATGCAAGGTCTGTCAAGAAGATGAAGAAACCGCACTGCATGTGCTTTGTGAATGTGAAGCGATATCAAGGCTGAGACACGCAAGATGCGGGGAAGAAAAACCAGGGGCTGCCAGCTATATGAAAGGGTCAGTGTCAAGGCTATGGAGTCTCATCAAAGAGATCAAGACAGTGAGCTCTAACAACCAAGGAGCATCACAATAGATCTGAAAAGGTGGCAGTGAATCAGGCCATGGGCTAGCTCTCTGATAATCTAATCTAACATAAATTCTTCTTGTGTTGAAGCTATTTTCTGGGTTATCAAAGTTATCCTCACAGAACAAATTATTTGGTAGTTAGTATTAGATGCTTATAATGAAATTGGATGTACCTGGGAGTGTATTTTAGGTTTATCTCCATTCCTATTGATATGAGGGCCGGTTTCCCAAAGCTCTAACCCAGTTAATAATGAATTCAATCATATCTAACTCTTCATTACTACCACTGTCAGGTCGCCTCTCACAACCAAAATTATAGGTTGAAAATTCCCTCTAGATAATCGTCAGATTATGAGACAGCGCGTCTAAAACATATAGATGAACCATGTACATCTTAATCTGAGGCGCTTGAGTATTTCAAAATGGCGATTTTTTTTTGCACATTATAATAATGGCCGCGAGTATGCGTCAGATCGAAATCATGAGATTATTGAATGAGAGCTTTTTTTGTTGCACTCAACACCCCCTTAGAAAATCTGACGGGCTCGATTAAATTTTTTTTCTTTTCACTTTTAACCCATACGTACATCCACCCACATCATGCAAACGATCAGATTAACATACCAACATTATTAAAAATACGTGGGACATTGATGCTATCAATATCTGACGCGCTCGAGTATGTCCATGCAACAGTATTTTTTACACATTTAAAAATCTATAGCCGCTTCCCCTACCGATGAAAAGGTATATATTATATAACATTTTTTTCTTCTTATCATCTAAGCTCAGTAACCTAATATGTCTCAATGACGCTCGAGTAAATCCCCATTTTGTATCGTGGGCTCCCCTGCTATTGGCTTTGAGAACCGCTGTGGTTTGTGGCTTATTCAAATACATCTGCGACTTAAGAAAACCCCCACAAGAAAAAGTCAAACGCACGATCTCAGTGGCCAGTGCAGAATATTCAATGTGGCATGAGCTGTGTGGCACGCAGCGCCGTCTTGTTGAAACCACATGTTGTTTTGATCACCTGTTAATCAAAATTTTGTGAACGCATGTGTTTTTTCCATATATTTTCATTATACACTTTTCGGCACATTGGTTAACTTCGGGTTCTGAATCAAAATCAATCAAATCGTATCAAATCAGTTTATTCATTCAAAGGACCCATTAGGGTATAGAACATGTCAGGATATAATGTCTTAGTACATGTATATAAATATAGTAAAGACTACAAAAAAAACAGCAATATAAATTATCTGAAATCCTACAGTAGGTAAAAAGGCAGGATATACCTTATTTATCATATAAGTCATTTAAAAAATTCTCAACTTCCCCCGAAGAAATCTCCTCGTAATA